TTATGATGCACAAACTGCAGGAACCAAACTCATACTGGTTCATTTCAATCATGCTTACTTACAAAGACACTTTGAAACTCTTATCAGTATGTTTCCTGTCCTACTAGGAATGATCAAACTCTGGACCTTTGTTCTGGATCAGTGAAGGATGCTCAGAAATCCCTCCTACTGCCCAAGCTTGAACATCATCAGCACTTTAACACTGAGCAGAAGTACATGGAAAAGGCCTTTTGCTCCAACAACAACGTTTTTACTCAGGTCCAAAAAAGCCCTATGATGAAAACATAAGGCTGGTTTCTTGATTTGGAACTAACAGGACTCAGAGAGGCCGGATAAACGTCGCCCTGTCCCATCAGGTCTGCTCCTCCCCACAGGGATGAAGCTCTTGCCCTTTTTATTCATCCTACACAAAAATGTGTGTGAGAGCAGCCACGGCCCAGTCCTCCGTGGTTTTATTCAAACTCATCTCATACTGAACACACACACTTTGTAGGAATCATCAGTAATTTTTTTTGTCTCAGGTTAGCTTCAGATTAGGAATTTATACTTTTTCCAATTTGAGTCACAGAGCGTTACATGATATCACAGAAGCTGATTGGTCAGCTGCAGTGATGGTGGTGAAGCAGCATTAATGATGATGCTGTAGAACAACAGGAACACGGGGATATCAGACCGTTAGTGGGTTGAGTCATTCCTGCTGCACTGTTTGTCCTTCTTATTAAAGTGACCTGCTAAGAGCTCACACTGTTCTCTGTAGAAATGATGTCAGTCTGACTCGTCACATGTTTGGAGGCGTGTTTGATGTTTGCTCTTCTGGAAACTCTCAGTATCAAATATGGAATATGCAAAGGAATGGAGACATGCTTCAGTCTTTATAGACCTGTTTCTGTAGCTGCCACTATCATTCTACATGTTTGTACAACAGCTTGTGAAATCCTGTCTGCTGTCTTCATTCATCACTCTTCACCTGCTTCACTGCCACTGTGTGGGTGGAGCTGCCTGAGCCCCGCCCACACACAGAGCTCCTCTCTGGAGCTAAAATTCTGCGTCATCTCTGCCTCCTTTCTATATCCTCCATCTCTCTTTTCTCTTCTTCAGTGTCCTGCAGCCACTGAGCCTCTCACAGCCGTTAGCACGCCCATACCTGAGCAGCTAGCATTACCCAGCATCCCGTGAAGCAGTGAATCAGTGAATTTGTGAGTGTGCAATAATTCCTGCTCCTGTTTTTTTTTTTTTTTCACAGATCGCTGTGTGTTGTGAACTTTGATGGCCCATGTGTGGGCCACTGACAATATGTTGGAATAATTGGTTGAATTGTGAATATTGTACTGCTACAGTCAATGGACTAGACCAGTGAAGTAGAAAACAGGCTTTATCATGAAGATCCTCAGTGTGGATCAGTATAATATCAGCTGATGTCTGCAATTTAGTTTCAGCACAACTTTCACATCATATTCATCTCAGCGCGACTAAAACATGTGACTGACCTCAGAGTTTCAAATCGACATCGTGGATTCTCCAGAAGAACACACAGCTGCTTCACTCCTGAATCCTGCAGGTTACAGTAGTTTCCACTCAGGTCCAATAGTTTCGGATACAAAGGGTTGGACTTCAGTGCTGCTGCCAGATAATCACAGCTGATGTCTGACAAATCACAGTCGATCAATCTGTATAAAGAATGAAAGATGTAAGTTTATTAGACAAAGTGCTTGAAATCATTCAGTGTTTCATCATCTGTTCAAAGCTGAAAAAGGTTCAGAATGTAGAAGTTTAGAAAATGGAAATTCCAAACAGCTGAAGCCAACAGGAAGCAGCTTCAAACAAACACAACAAGAGAAAAAACTCAAATCAAAGTCATACATTTATCTTGAAACAGTTGTGTTTTTCCTTCCAGGAACCACATGGCTTCACTTTTAAAGGTGAAGTGTGACAGAAATGGACATATTTGAAGTCCAACACCTTTTTCCAGTCACATTATTAAAGCAGACAAACTACAAGCTCATTTTCATTCCAACAAGTCATCTTCTTACCTGGACTAACAACACTGGTCTCTATGTGCAGCTGGCTGTGAGACCAGTGCTCAGGGAGCGTCTACAAAGTGCAACACTGAAAGAACATCACACACAAATTTGCTTCCAGCACTTTCCACAAACATCTATTGTCATTATTCACATTCCCGCTCCTCTGGATTCACACAGAACCTCTGCTGTTTATTTACCCGTTGCCATGGTGAATCATAGTATGGGGCTCCATAACTCAGACTGAGCATGCTCAGAGCTGTTTGACCTGACTCTGATCAGCTGATCTGGAACATGGAACTCTGCTATATGTACATTATTACATCTACACCTGAATCTCAACACTCACAACACGCTCACGATGGCAGCAGGAGCAGCCATCAGCTGTGCAACACTTACACAAATTAATATTTAGGCACGTAGATCACTTATGTGCTTCAGCTCTTCTTACATTTTACTGCCAACATATTTCATAAGGAGCAGCTTTTCCTTTGAAAGCCAGCTTTCTCTGTTTCCTGTTTTCATTGTTGGATAATTGAACAAGTCGATCCTTCAGCGCGTTGAATTGTGTTACACCAAAAAAAAGCAAAGAAAAAAAAGCAAGGGTTTCACATTGTTCAGGCAGAATCGAGCGTTGAAGAATGAATTCACGCATCAATAAACATTTTCATCAGCACAAACAGGACAATGATGCTTTCATCACTTCAAGACTGGATTATTGTAATTCTTTCTACTTGGGCCTACAATCTTCTCTCCTTCAGCGTTTGCAGCTGGTCCAAATTGCCGCAGCACGTCTCTTGACCAGCACTAGAAAGTACGATTCTATCACCCCTGTTCTGGCAAATTTACACTGGCTTCCTATTAAATACTGAATTGATTTTGAAATTTTATTGTTTAGTTATAAAATCATAAACAATATGGCACCTGATTTCCTAGCCGATCTCCTCTGTCTGTATAGCCCTCAGAGAGCACTAAGATCATCGGGCCAACTGCTCTTAGTGCAACCTTGGTCTCGGCTGAAGAACAAAGGAGACCGTGCCTTTCCCGTTGCCGCACCCAGTTTATGGAATACTCTTCCTCTTCATATTTGCGCATCAGATTCCATTCAGTCTTTTAAATCACGTCTAAAAACGTATTTGTTTAACCTGGCATTCAAGGTGAATTAGGGTAATTTACATCTGGCTTTGCATTTAGATTATGTAATTATTTTATATTTTATTTATTTTATTTATATCTGTAATTTATATTTTATATTGTGATTTTTATCTGTATCATGATTTTACTGGAAAGCACTTTGGTGTACTTCGGTCTTTAAAAATGTGCTATATAAATAAATTTTGATTGGTTGATTGAATGAAAGCAGGAAAAACCCCAAAGTGCCATTTCTCATTCTACAACTTCAACAACTGCACATGAATTATACTTCATATACAGACCCACAGTCTCTGATTGCTCTGAAATCTCACTGACAGCCAATAGAAATAAAGCAAAGTCCAGACTGACAGTCTCTGTGGGTTTAGGCAGTGAACAGCTCAGTTGAAGTATATCACAAACTAATGGAATTGGATCCAACTTTGTGAAACAGTTTCAGCACAACTTTCTGTCACTTCTATTTGGAGCCAAAAGAAAAACTGTTGTTCAGTCATTTGGAAAGACACAACATTTCTGAAAGCACTCAAATATCTTCACATTTGTTTTCAGACACTAAAGAAAGTTTCAAACATCAACCAAAGATCTGAAATATAGAAACAAAACAGCAGCTGCAGTCAGTGAACTCACCTCAGACTCTCCAGTCGACAGTTTGGACTCTCCAATCCAGCACACAGAACCTTCACTGTTGAATCATGCAGCTTGTTGAAACTCATGTCCAACTCTGTCAGATGGGAGGGGTTAGACTTCAGAGCTGAGGCCACAACTGCACCGTGAGTCTCTGAGAATTCACAGTTTATCAGTCTGTGATTATAGAAAATATAAAATGTGTTTTTATAAAAGCTGAAAATATGCATTATAAACACAGACTGAATGTACTGTATTTGAAGACAAAACAGAGTGAGGTCATAATCTGATGAACCTGATCTATACTTAAAATTTTTAAATTCGCTGTTTCTGTGTCACCAGCTACACTTTCAATAATTTCTTTAGGTGACAATGTAGTGGAGTAAGTTTCAAATATTGATTTGTTAAGCTGGAGCGTATTTGGTCTGACATTTTTGGAGATATCGGTTCCTGCTGTTGTCTCACATTGCAAGTTGTGATGGAGCACTCAGAGCTCGTATACTGCAGTTAAACATGTCTCCCAGCACACGGCTGACTGTATTCTCTCTGAGGTTGGACATGATTCAATTAGATTATATCTGTCAGGAGAAGTTTATCTCTGTGTTTATTTGTTTCTGAGCAAGTCGTTTGGCTGAGATTAGAAAGTAATCTAAGATCTGATCTTAGATCAGAAAGTAATTGGACAATTTTAATGAACTTTAACGCCTTCGAGCAAATGTGGAACTGAATCATTCGCTTTTCTCTATTTCCTGATGATCATATGTGACATACATGTTTTAACCATTAATTTTAATTTAAACTGACATTTAACATATTTTAAGGAGGAAAGAGAAATTTCACCAGAGAATGTTGATGCTGTTCATGGAGACTGAAGACAGACAGAATGATTTATTTGTCATTTTCTTAATATTTCTGCTGCTCTTTCTTTCTGTGTTAAAATATTTTAACTGACAGTTTTAATTTAAAATCAATGGTTAAAAGGTGACAATTAAAATAACAACAAAGTTGTGGTTTGAATGTTGATATTCTGTGAGTTCTTTAATCACACAGGTACAGGACATATTTTATGATATGTTTAAGTTTATGCATGTTTGTGGTGTGATGAGCATGTAGTGGGCTGTTATGATGTAAACTGTATGGATGTGTTTGGAAACAGAAAGATTATTTTGTTGGATAAAATGACGGTGATCAACCCATCAGCTGTTTGCAGTGCTGGTAGACTCGGTCAGGTGAACCACCTGTCACCTGACTCAAACAAGCTCTCCTCCTCCACAGTCCTCATTTATAAACAAACCGAACATCACGGCAAACAGCTGGATTTTCCCATTCCAGTGCAGCTAGCCAAAGAGTCAACAGCCACTTCCTGCTACAGACACAGACAGTAAAGTGGACAGTCTGTCCTGTTGTAACATAAACTCACTGCTGCAGCACTAAAGTGATCCCCTTACACTCATGTTTAGTTTGAGTGTCCTTATTTTCCTTAGAGGTATCCATCCTGTCACTAGTTAGCTAACATAAACTAATGTGAGTCTGCCAACCAACCAATCAATCACATGACGTCACGTCCCGCGCTGACAGAAGATGGCGCTAAACATGTTTTTAAAACTCCAACTTTAAACACTTGTTTCTTAAACCCAGCTTCACAGACAGAATTACATCTTTGTCCATGTTTTAGAGCAGGGCTCAGGGGTGTAAATGAGCCTTTATATGTGTTTCATCTCCCTTTTAACATTTAACTCAATTCAATTCAATTTTATTTATATAGTGCCAAATCACAACAAAAGTCGCCTCAAGGTGCTTCATAGGTACAGAGAAAAACCCAACAATCATATGACCTCCTATGAGCAAGCACTTTGGCAACAGTGGGATGGAAAAACTCCCTTTTAACAGGAAGAAACCTCCGGCAGAACAAGGCTCAGGGAGGGGCGGCCATTTGCGACCGGTTGGGGTAACAGAAGGAAATGAGAATGAAAACTTCACCTGATATGTCTGTGTAGGTTCTCACCATCCAGTCATGGTAATCTAAGGAGCCTGGAAAGAAAAGTGACTTCTTAAACTTTCTTGAAGACGTTTCATCTCTCGAAATCTCTGCTGATAATCACCCACACCCTTTT